CAAGTTAGTATTTGAATATATCTGCCCTTATAAATGGCTGAATATTATTCCTTAGGTAGAATTCATTTATTTATTCCGGTATTGATGAACATTAAGATTGTTTCTATCTTTTTTGTTTTTAACAGTTAAGCTTGGAACTCCCCCCCCCACACACACACATGAATTTAGTTTTAGCAGAAATTTCTTTCTTTCTCTCTTCTTTCTCTTTGCCTCTAGGGATTGAACCCAGGGTTGCTTTGACACTGAGCCATATCATATCCCCAGTCCTTATTATTATTTATTTATTTATTTATTTGATACTCGCTAAATTACTGAGGCTGTCCTAGAATTTAAAATCCTCTTGCCTCAGCCTTCCAAATCACTGGGATTACAAGTGTGTGCCACTATGCCCAGTTTAGGCAATGAACTCTTGAAAAGTTTTTGGTACCTGAGTGACATCATAAAAGTATGGCTATGATGAGTTTTTTTGTTTTGTTGTTTGTTTGTTCTGAAGCTCTCCCTACTCTCTGACGAGAGGTGTGAATCCTGCGTTACTCTGGATTTATAGAGATGCCCACAAATGGCAGGTAGTATGCGCAAAGAAAGAGCTGATAATAAGAAAGCCCGAATGGTGTGGCCCTTTTCCTCTCATCTCTGCTTTATGAGCCCTGGGAACTAAGACCTAAAATGGCATAACATATCCCGACACCTGGGTGGAACAGCAGTGTTCCAGCAAGGACTCAGAGCCCAGAAACCAGAATCACCTGGATTCAAATCCTGGCCCTGCCTCTTTCCAGCTTCAAGCACGTTGCTGTGTGAGTTTGTGATTCTCGTGGGGAAGGACTGTACCTGTGTTCACTATGAAAAAGTCTGGATCCTGGATTCCATAAAAAGTAAAATTAAAAAGAAAGAAAGAAAGAAAGAAAGAAAGAAAGAAAGAAAGAAAGAAAGAAAGAAAGAAAGGAAGGAAGGAAGGAAGGAAGGAAGAAAGAAAGTGTCTTTCCAAGTCTCCATCTCTTCACCTGTAAGATGAGGATGGTCACACCTACTTCTTGAAGTCCTGCCTCCTCCAAACCAAAGGCTTACAAGTCACCTGTGTCCTCACTGCAGAAAGGCCCAAGAGGTCTCTGTGACTGCTGTCCTGCTTTCCCCTGAGCTGTCTGATTAATGTGGGGGTGAGGGAGAATGATTACTTCTCTGCTGTTTTAAAAAGTAATTTTTCCTATTTATCAGGATAATACATGTTCATTTTATATAGAACTTTGACAGATTTGGAGAAGTTTAAAAAATAGATTAAAATAAGAAAGATAATAGATATCTTCCTGTTTTGGCCAATTTTCTTCCTGTCTTTTATTTTTTTTTCCTTGACATATATATCTTATATAATAAAATTTTGATCATTTTCAGTAAAAAGCTTTCTAACCTACTTTGTAAAATTTGGTTTTGTTCTGCTGGGGATCTAACCCAGGGCTTTGCACATGCTGGGCAAGTCTTCTACCTCTGAGCTGTTCTCTCACTCTCCATTTTTTTTTTTTTTTTTTTTAGCACCATTTTATCAGGAGATTTCCCCAGATCTTAAACAAATTTGAAAATAAGATTTTTAATGTCTGCATGGAATTTCATTATATGAACTTCCTTTATTAGAACTTTTTCTTATTTATAGGTACTTGGTTTGCAGTTTTTGCTGTTATAAAGTACATGGCAATGAACCCTTATATTTTCATCTAAATCTTGGTTTCTGTTTCCTTAGCACAGAGTCTTGAAGGGAAACTATTGGTCAAAAGTTTTGTTTGTTTGTTTTTTTGTGGTGCTGGGGATTGAACCCAGGGCCTTGGGCATACAAGGCAAGCATTCTACAACTGAGCTATATCCCCAGCCACTAAAGTTTAATTAATTTTGTATGCTACTTTTTATAATACTTTCTTAATATATATTTAATTTTATATAAAAATAATTTTTTTTAGAGGAGGAAAAGTTTATTTGGCATTCAGTTTCAGAGATCTCAGTCCACAGATGGCCAATTCTATTGCTCTGTGTCCGAGTAAGGCAGAACACCATGGCAGAAGGGTGTGAGGAGGAAATCAGCTCAGGACATGGCAATCAGGGACCAGAGAGAGCTCCACTCACCAGTGACAAAATATAAATCCTAAAGACATGCCCCCAGAGATCCCCACCTGCTACAGTACTGCCCAGTTAATCCCTATTGGGGATTAATGCACTGATTAGGTTAGAGCTCTCATGACCCAATCATTGCACTTCTAAACTTTCTTTTTTTTTAAAAAAAAATATTTTTAAAATTATAAGAATAAAATATATTCATAATATAACAATTTTAAAATGCAGATAAATAAAAAGAAAAGAAGATCATTTGGGACATATATATAATGATATGTTGTATATATTATAATATATATTACATTATGATATATAAGTGTTTATAGTATTTATATATTATATACTTATATATTAGACAATATGTATTTATATATTATAGATATATATTATAGATCATAATATTAAGTATATATTAAATATGTATATGTTATACATATATACCCAAATATGTACATAATTTTTTATTCTTGGTTTGACAGTTTTTGTAGTGATATTTCTAATCTGTTAATAACCAGTTCCTATTCTGTTAAATCTATGTTCAATAAGAATCTATTTTTATGGCTGAATTTAAATATTTCCAAAAAAGAAACACAATTCAAAAATACTTACTGAAACATTTTGTGGATGTGGTGTAGACACAACTTTTCATACTTTTTGTACCTAGAGTAAAATATCTTTTGGGGGATCAGTATGGAAGTGGGGCCATTTAGATAAGCTAAGCACCATCCATTAACACGTCACAAAATGGATGACAATTCAATGCAAAAAAAAAAACACATTTAGTTTCATGAGAATTAAACCCACTTTCAGGTGAGATGTGAAGATTCTATGTCATTCTAAAATTGTACAGTAGCAGAAAGCAATTGTAGAAGATGAGTGCCAAATATGAAGGATTAAGGTTAAAGGTATGTTTGCTCCTTTTGCCCAGACTGGAATAAACATTGTCATTAACTAGCTCCAGTCCTTTGGGATCCAAAAAATAAATGCCTACTTTGATTTCTAACCATTGTAGTTTCTATCCTCATTTGTAGGCTCCTACAAAGGAGAGGCCACATTTAATTCATCTTTGCAGCTCCAGTGCTTAAGACTGTGCAGGTAAAGTCAGCGAAATAATGTCTGAGGGCACCTGCTAAATACAGTTAGAAAGCACAGCCATTTTTGAAGTACTTTCACTTCACTTATCATTCACGTTTTCCAAAGTTGCTCTTTAAATAGATGTTCACTTCTTGAGGGAACAATTTATGTCATAGAGTTGGGGAACAGGGAGTTTTCATGCAGTGCAAACTTGATTTCCAAGCTCTAGCTGTACTGGAGAAGGGTGTTGAACATGTATTATTTTTACAGCAACTCAACTGTAAAGAAAGCAGGGACACAGACTGTGTTGTAGATACAGGTCAGGTTGAAACTATGTTACAAATTTGTCCCTGGTTGCTGACATACTTTAATCCTCATTGCTATTGTTTGGGTCTCCTCACTAGAGTCTCTATTTTCTTCCTTACTTGCCAAACTTCTCCTCCTCCTTAAAGCTCAGGTCAAATGCCCCTTCCTTTATGGAGCCTTTTCTTCCTGGTTCCCCCTTCAGTGTTTCCAAACTAGGCAGAAGTGCTTCTTCTCATCTTTGTGCTTGGGAGTAATGTTTTGCTCAACAGTTTTAACAGTTAGTTGGCTTTTCAATTAAGATTATATGGGTCTATCTTTGCTGCAAGGTGGAGTGCCCTGAGGGCTGGCAAGGGTTACTATCTTTATCCAGGGTATCTGGCAGGATACCTGACAGGTGATCATGAACTTTGGTATTTTCAGGGCCCTTATGTTTGCATCATCAGCTGTAAATACCCTGGAGTCCTTTTTGTTCTCAGTGGCTGCTAAGCTGAATCTGTGATGATGCACAGCAAACTCAGGATGTCCTTTGTGAATGGGCTCTATTGGTTGGGTGGCTTCCCAGGCATCTTCAGCCCATTGTTAAAGCTCATGAGAAGCACTGTGGGTGGGGTGGGACGGACTCCTGAGGCAGACGCAGTCCTCAGACTTTCTCTCTCCATACTATTACTAAAGATGGTGTCTTGCTCCTCACCCACTGGTCTTCCGAACCCCAATGTGTTTAATCACCTTCAAGTACCACTCATTAACTGCCCCTAAAAACAATAATTAGGTCCCACATTTTAAATCGAAGTGATCCGTGTTACCATTGTTTCCTCTGCATAGTGACTCTCCCACTGCTGGTATTGTGACAGCTAAATAAAAAGGCCAGTAATATGTGGGTTTCTGTTTTTTTTTTTTTTACCTTGAGGAAACAAAGCCTCCCCTGATGTAATGAGATACTAGGAATCTCAAAAGAGCCCAACAGAACAATACAGATTCTTTTTTTATATACATGATGATTACAAAGCCAACAAGAAGGAATTATTTGGCAACAAAATATGGGAGACTGGTTATTGTTAGAGCTTTCAGTCCATCACTTGGGGGAAATCCAAGCTGTTCGGGGGGCAACCTGTGAGAAGTGGGTGGCAGGAAATAACATACATTGCTAGAGTTGACAGTGGCTTCCAAAGGCCGACAGGGACCCGCAATACAAATGCCAACAATCCCTGGAGACACCTGTTCAGAGCTCTTCAGTACTGAATCAAAGTTTTTAAAAGAGGGAGACCTTATTTTTTAAAAACGTATTCTGCCAAGTGTTGCCCTCTATGACATAACTTTTAGCACCCCCTCTCTGCCCCTGAAAAGATATTTACCCTAATTTCCCAGGTATTTCTCCATTTCTTGGTCAGAAGCTTTGGGCTGTCATCACCAAGATTCTAATTCATTGGCTGGAGGATTAAGCCCTCCTCCCCCCATGGGGTCTCCCATCTTCTGTGTGCTTCAGGTGAAAAACTCTCCTGTAACTATATATAACTGCCAGAGAATGGTCGCAGCTCCGCGAAACTGACATCTCACCATCCAATTGGCCTGGTGCCCAGAAGCACCCTGGGAAAAAATTTGAATGCTCTTGGCAGTTGGGATTCAGATCTTGACGGTTGTAACTGATGGACTGGGCTTGGGGAACTGCTGATGAAAGTCAAATTCCTTAGAGAAAAAAAAACCATCCAAAGTAAGAGTTTGACACTGTAGTCTCAGTAGCAGTAACTGAAATAGAAAGAGGTGGTGTTTCCCAGGACAGGCATCTGAACCTGTCTGGGCCCTGTTGTCTGAGGGGGTGGGGGTGTGCCTTGTGAGTAAGAGGGAGGGTTATGAAGTAAAACTGAAAAACAAAATTTAAAAAAAACACCCCGCCCCCAAATAAAACCCAAACAAATATCACTTGAGATATTTGTAACCATTTGAGATTTGGGCACTGGGAGGGAAAATGTGTTTCCCTGTCAGATGGGAAGAGTTGTTAGGGGATGGAGATGAAGAAACCTGGGACAAGGAAATGCAGGCAGCTGTCAAACAGGGCCAAGGAGGTCAGGAGCAGGTCAGCGCTCCCCTGCGGAGCTCTGAGTTCTTCCCAAACCTCAGGTTATCAGGAACTGCTGCTCTGAGGGCTGTGGGGTTTTTTTTTCAGACTCAAAAGAAAAAGTTCTAATTTTAAAGAAGGAATAACTCATGTGAAAAGATGGGACAGAATGACCAACAATACAGGGCAATGGCATTTAAAAATAGTACCCACAAGAAGAGCACTGATAATTCAGAGGAAAGAGGGATTTCTGGGAAGGTGGTGAGATGGAGCTTAAAGCCACTTTAATTGAGCCTTAAAGAGGTAAAATCTGTGTAGTTAAAGGGTGAAACACTGAGGCCTGGGGTCTTGCTTGAGGGCTGAGGCTCACCTTAATTCTGGCAACCCTGTTGGGCACCTGCGGTATCCGATGTATTATAACCAATTGTGCTTACTTGGCCTTTTTTTTTTTTTTTTTTTAAGTGTAGGTGAAGCTGTAGGTGATAACAGCTTCCTAGAATTTGTTATGAGAGGACTGACTACTTGGAAGGACTCAGAGAAACCCCCAGCCCCCTCATACGTCCCTCATGGTCACCATGTTCCCTCAAGATAGCCACCCCAAGGAGAATCATCCCTGGGCCTCGGAGGAGAGAGAAAAACAAAAGGCCATCAGCAACAGATTGAAAATTTGAAGTTCAAAGGTGAGTGTTTGGATTTGAAGCAAGAATTATATCTAATGTGACACTGTTTCCTTAAAGAGAATGACCTTCTGAGGTCTCAAGACACTAGTTATTAAATTATTCTATCAATGTGGGTATTCATCTATACTAAGATGAATATTTCTACCTTGATTCACTTTGGACTCTAGCTTATTATAATGTATCCCTCATCTAAAATGCTTGGGATGAGGAGTGTTTGGGATTTCAGAATTTTTTTTAATTTGGAATATTTTCATATATATGAAAATATATGAGGTATCATGGGATGGGACTTACGTCTAAATATGAAATACATTTTGCTTCATATACACCTTGTAAACATAGGTTGAAGGTAATTATATACAATTTTTTAATATGCCTGCATTTTGACTTTGACATATCACATACAGTCAGGTGTGGAATTTTCTACTTCTTGTTTTTGTTGGCACACAAAAAGTTTCTGATTTTGGACCATTCCAGATTTTAGATTTTTGCATTAGGGATGCTCAACTTGTATACAGATCTGCTATAAAAGGGAAGATGCAAATAATGGCTTGGTTAACAGAAATTTCATATACCCACACAGGCTCTCCTGAAAAATAAAGATCAATATAAATGCATTTAAAATTAATATTTAAGCAGGCTTATTCTATTTTTCTGCTCAACCCCAAAGAAAGCTGTTTACTCTGCAATGAAAACAATTTTCTCCCAATGCTATCTCTGCCTTTTGGTTAAGAATTATTTGCACCAAGTGCAGGTGTGGGAAATAGTGGTCAGGCACATGGCTTGATAGTTTGCTCCTAGGCAGGCAGCCTCAGAGGCAGCCACACAGCCCTGCCCTGAAAGTGTCCCCTGGCTTATCCATGCTGGCTCTCAGTGCAATATGAACTCACCAATGCTTTGTCAAACTAGCATGTGGATAAAAGTGTTCCCCCTATTGTAGAATTGTGGCCTCCAATGGCCCTTGCTACTTGGCCATGCTTCTGCTGCTGGAGTTTTAACAAGCAAATATGAGAGATGTCATTTAATATTTGGGGATTTTGGCTTCATGTTTGGTCCAAGATGTCATATTTGAAAGTATAAGTGATTCTTCCAGGTGTGGTGATGCGTACCTGTAATTTCAGTGGCTCAGGAGGCTGAGGCAGGAGGATGATGAATTCAAAGCTAGCCTCAGCAACTTAAGTCTCACTAAGCAACTTAGTGAGACTCAGTCTCAAAATAAAAAAATAAAAAGGGCTGGGGATGTGGTTCAGTGGCAAAAGCACCTCTAAGTTCAATCCCCAACCCCCAGTACCAAAGTGGGGGAGTATAAGTGATTCTATAGTACTAAAATTATTATTATTTTAACAAAACACCGCTACTCTCACCCCAATTTTATTATACTCACTAACAATGGTGCCAAAATGGGCTTCAGGGGATTCCAGGCAACCAGTTTAACAGTTAACACCAATTTAAGTTTTTACTTATCTGTTTATCTATCTATTTATTGGCACTTGGGATTGAACCCAGGGGTGCTTAACCACTGAGATACATTCCTAGCCCTTTTTATTTTTTATTTTGAGGCAGGATCTCACTAAGGTATTTAGAGTCTCCTGAAATTGCTGAGGCTAGCCTCAAACTTGGGATCCTCTTGCTTCAGCCTCCCAAATGCCTGGGATTACCAGCCTGTACCACTATGCTGGGCATTAATACCAATTTCAAGTACTTTCCTACTCTTCTTATTAATTTAAAAAATACGATCCATAGGAGCCTCTTGGTTGTATTCTCCTGGCAGTGTCCTGAGATCCCCCAGCATAAGGCTGTGCCTCCTTGTGAGGTCAAGGCTTTCAGATAAGTGTGGCCGGTCACCTGGATTCCCTGGTCCTGCCCCATTTCAGGAGAGCCCCTGTGGGTTGCAGGTATTGGGAAGATATTGTCCTTCACTCAGCTGCTCCAGGGACATAATCTGTACTTTACATCCCACTTTACAGTTTCAATCCTTTTACTTCCATTGCCTGATGATCATATGTAGAAAACCAGGGTCAGAGAGGAAGTAAATCTTTTATTTTTTTCATTTTTTTTTTTTGCTATTGGAGCATTATGATTATACATGGTATTTGGGTTCATTTTGACAAAATAATACATGCAAGGAATTTGATTTCAAATCCGTTCTCCCCGTCTTCTTTTCTCTCCCCTCCTGCCTCTCCCTATTGCTCTCCTCTCCTCTATTGATCTCCCTTTCACTCCTTTATTTATTTAATTTTGATTGATATTTTATACATATACATAAAGGTGAAAATTCTTTTTGGTACATTTATATGTGTATGTAAAATTTTGTTAAATTCACCCCATATTCCTACCCTTTCCCTTCTTACCTGCCTTCCTCTAGTTGTCCTCCTTCTACTCCACAAATCTTCCTTGTGTCTTTATGATATTCCACACCCCTTCTCCTCTGTTTTCTTGCCCTTATTTTGCCCTAGCTTCCATATATGAAAGAAAACATTCAGCTCTTGATTTTCTGAATCTGGCTTATTTCATTTAGCATGATTTTCTCCATTTCTATCCATTTATTTCAAATACCATTACTTCATTCTTATTTATGGCTGAGTAAAACTTTATCACATATATGTATATATATAGTGGACACCTGGCCCATACCTGGGTCATGATTTGCCAACATAGCAATCTGGGGTCTGTTTTAGAGGTAGCTTAGAGACCTGGAAATGGATCCCAAAGTTCCTAAATGAAGGACTAACCTGTGGTAGCACGGTAAATCAAGTTATACTCCTGGCTCAATCATTTTAATAACTGATTCACAAAGTTTTAAACCTAGAAGTGTCTTGAGAATCATCTGTTTTGTTTTCCTCATGTTTATAATATAACCAGGATGACAGCTAGTTAGTAAAAAAAAAAAGTCTTTTAGTAAATTTCTATTATATGACAGGAGTGATAGTAGGCAATTTACATAGGTTATGTTTTAATCACACTATTAAGCTAGAGTGGTATCAAGGTATTCCTACCTTGATTTTAAAGACAAGAAAGTGAAGGTATAGAGCTTAAGTACTATATCAAATCAACTCAACTAGCAAGAGTCCATGCTGAGATTTGAACCCCTCTCTGTCTTTTTCAAAATGGCATTCACTACGCAGGATTCTGTCTCTTTATTTACAACATGAGCAGCTTGATTCCCAGTTCTGGAGCTTTATGAAAGTCTCTATGTTTAAAACTCAGATCTGTTTTTAACAGTGTTGCCAAACAGATTGACTCCCAAACTGCATTCCTCTTGCTGGGATGATCTGATGTCATCATGTAGAAGCCCATTCCCAGGTTTAAAGGACTCCATTTGCTCTTCCTTAAAGCAATGTGGCTACAGGCCTTCCACCTAAGCTCAGCTTTGCTTTCACTCCCTCACCTACTTGCTCTTCATGATGAGTGTTCTCCCTTACAGGCTGTGGGAAGGCCTAGTCAGGGTGAGGGCATGGTGATACCGTTAACAAGGGTAACCATGTGTGCCAGACAAGGCCGAACACTTTACTAGAGATTATAGCAAAATAAAATGTGGGTAAAATTAAAACTGCACTAAATATAATTAAATCTTTCTTTGATGATTCAAAAGACCTTTAGGATCTGAGTGCCTCAGGGTCATCATTATGTTTATCATTATATTTGATAAAGCAGGCAGCTGAATAAGAATACCAGATTTAAAATTATAGGCCTCCCTCCCAACCTGCCTAGCTGGGTGGCCTTTGGTAGGTAACTTGACCTCTCCAGTTTCATTGTCCCCTCCAAAATAGGGGTGGTGACATGACCTCATAAGGTTGCTATAGAAGGAAACTATGTATATAAAGGATATTATTGTTATTATTACCATTGCTATAAGCTACAAGGACATCCAACTGCTGGCTGATAGGGAAGGCTATTATATGTCTTCTTCTAACATGCTTGAAGTAATTTTTTTCTAGTGTGTTTTGAAGGAAAACATGGCTTCCTTAGCAGCAGGGATTGCTGAGAACTGATATTTAGTCAAGGGTTGGGAAGAGTGCTTAAACATTGTGTTTAACCTGCAAAAGTAGTCCATAGTTGTTGTGAAAAATTCAAACACTAAAGAATATATTAGAAAATAAAAGTCCCCTTCTACTCACATTCTCTCAACCTTCCCCAGGGTAAGCCTTTTGTGGTTTAGTATATGTGTGAGATTTAAATTACACTGTTCAATATTGTTCTGTGACTTTGCTGTTTTTCCACTTGACAACGCATCTTGGTGATCTTTTCAGTCTTTTTATAGCTGCATCTGCATAGTGTTTTCATAATATGAATGCGTTTACCTTGTGTAACCATCACCCTGTTGATGAACATTAGGCTCTTTCAAGTTTGAAATGGCAAACAGTGCTACAATGAACACAGACAGGATGCTTTTCTTTATTCCCCCCCCCCTTTCTCTTTCTGTGCTGGGGGTTGAACCCAGGGCTTTGCAATGCTAGTACTATACCACTGAGCCACAGGCCTAGCACCACAGGATGGTTTTAAAATATGAATTCAGTTTTAGCCACTCAGTAATATTTGACCTGAGGTTACCTCGACTCATGCTTCCTAAAACAACTTCTTCTCCACCTCCTTTTTGGTGTAAGGGATTGAACCTAAAGCATGCTAAGCATATGCTTTACTACTGAGCAACCCTCTAATCCAAGCATATTATAACTTAATGTATATGCTTTTGGGGGGAAGGAGGGGGATACCTAGGATTGAACTCAGAGGTGCTTATTTTTTTTTTTTTTTTATTTTGAGACAGGGTCTCATCAAGTTGCTTAGTGCCTCACTAAATGGCTAAGGTTGGTTTGAACTTGTGATCCTCCTTCCTTAGCCTCCTGAGATGATGGGATTACAGGTTTGTGCCTCCACATTCTGTACACCCAGCGATATATATGCTTTTTAAAAGAGAGTGTATCAAATATGATCAAAGTAAGTGATTTTTGCTAGGGCTGTAGCTCACCAGTAAAGTATGTCCTTAGCATGCATGAGTTCCT